TCTTCGCGAATCTACTCTTCTGGCGAATCAATTCATCTTCTTCTTTCTCCGTCCCAAAGATCTTTTCGCTTCTCTCTCTTGCTCCCTCCCTCCTTCTCTCCACGTTTCCCTCCCCAGTCGTCAATATATATTCAGCGATATATCTCATCGACACTTTTACAATTTCTATCTTGGTGCACCAATGACTTGTAGGAAAAAATAAAATAGAAAAACTCGGATCTATTCTTCACGATGTTGCTGCAACAAATTAAGGTCCAATGTCACAACTCAAATTCATCAAAAGCTTCATTAATATAAACAATTTCATGGGTTTTACATCTTTGTATATTGGGAAGCCTAAACCCCAGCTAACACCCACACCCCAGATCACCACCGACAAAAAATAACATTACACTAAACAAATTTCATATGAAAGTTGAGGATTCTGAACAATTTCAACGAAAATGAACAGTAAATTAGGAAAACAAAGGTAAATCTCATAGAAATCCATGACGATAATCTCCCGGCACTGATGCAGCCACTGGCCCTCCTCTTTTTTTTTTTTTTTATTTTATGTTTTTTTTTAAATAATCAGTTTTTTAATCCGATACATCACCAAACGTCCAACTAATTTAGTCAGTACTATACGATAACTATTTATCCTATCCTACTAATCCGAACTGCCAAACAAGGCTTTAATGACTTATATAGGATTGCAGGTAAACCCAAATGATAGACATAAGATATTTTGATCTGGTAGATTATAAATATATGTGGCAATTACAGAGTAAAATAATAGTCGCCGGAGAAATATAACTGTTAAAACTATATTTTTCAACTTTGTACGATCACGGCATGTTTTGCCTCCTCATATAAGACAATGAACTCAACTTTGACCAATATATTAAATATAATCAAGATGCACGTCACAATCATCAACTTACGACCAACAAAGAAATATGGTAAATATTCAACGACTAATGATCAGGTCGTAATTAGTACGAGATAATGCCCAAGGACGCAGAGCACGACCTTAAATTTGTACTGTTAGAGAGTGTAATGCATTATATATCTGAAATTAATTGATGTACTAATCATAACCAAAAAAGTAAATTGAAGTACTTGTCCGGAACTCAAGATATGAAGAGAGTACTTAGTTATTTGTTAATGGGGATAAGAAACCGCAAGTTGTTAAGCCAGTTGATTGAAGCTCAAGGAGTGAAAAGACTGAGAAGCCCTTCTTCATTGACACCAAAAGATTATGTGCCTGTTTGTGTTGGTGTAGATGGTGATACGAAGCGTTTCATGGTTCATACCACGTTGCTTCACCATGCCGATTTCTTGGAGCTGTTGCATAATCACGGATTTTTCAGTACATAGTTTGATGTAATCATTGAGAAAAAATGCTTTTATTTATTAGTTATGTATTTTCATTGCTAACAAACGCCTTAGCTAGGGGATTTAATATGCTGGTGTCAATTTGCAGCGTAATCTTCTGGTTTTTCAAATGAAAATCATGTGCATTGTTTGATGTATCATCATGTTATTAAGAAGTTTGATAGACAATTGGTAAGTCATGTTTTCTATGGATTAGCGTGCCCTTATATGCAAATGCCTTTCGCAGTTCGAGGAATGATCGATGCTAATTATATTGTGAGATGTGAATATAAAAGAGTCCTATATCAATGAATGAGAAACCTTGTAAGGGGTTGTAAGAGGTCGGGTTATTCCTTATATTGTCAATTAATTTTTATTATGGTGGAACCCCAACTTCCTTCATATATACCATGTTTATGTTTGAAGATAGGGAGAACTATTTTTGTTTCAGTTACCAAAGAATCAGTGGCATGATGAAGACACCTAAGCTTACCGCAAGTGTTGAAGGTTACAAAACCGTAGTGTCACATTTAGGTCAAAACAGCAATAACAATATTTCTAGTTCAATCTGTTACATCGCCAAAATGTGGCAATGACCATCACATTAAATAGGGATTTCTCAATCGTATGATCATCACCTCTGCCAATATTTGGAGCTATCTGATTTCCCGTAGTCCTCATTATATACCTAATTAGCCGGTAGAGACAATTTAGATCCATTTGCAATCAATTTGATGGCTATGTCCAAGACATTGACAGTCTGCATTGTTGCTCTCTTGGTGTGTTCACTTTGCATTGAATCGCAAAAGTCAAATTTCTGAAATAACCACCGCTGAGGTACGACCAGCCGTTTCGCTGTAGGTTTTCACGTTGCATGCCTCCACCATCCAACCCATATAGAAGAGGTTGCGAGAAGGAGGAAAGGTGCGATCAGGTCGTCAATTAAAACAAGCCTTCAGAGGTGGAAAGGTTAAGGGCCACAAGGTTCAATGGTGCTTATTGCAACAAATTCGAGAGAATATCAACTTATATGTTTACCATATAGTTCTTGATCTACCCTATTGCAAACATGATGTATTAAATAAGAACAATTCTTTCACTGATAAATATGTTGTTGTTTATTTATGTGTGACTTGTTTTTAAGAGGGACAGTACTGGCGTTCAGTCTTTATGAGTGCATCTCCATGGTCACTTATCTATAATTAATTAAGGGGTGTGCTATCCACACACCCCATTTTACTTCTCACACACCTCTTAATAATTTCTGTCCGTTGATCTTCTTTAATTCATCCGATCTGACGGCCAAATATTAAAAAGGTGTGTGAAAAGTAAAATGCGGTGTGTGGATATCACACCCCTTAATTAACCAATATATATTCACTATCTAAACATCAAAATCGAATCGTTTATTTTTTACAATTATCATCTAAAGATCTTTACAAAAGATGCGGTTCTATCTAAGGACACATTATGGACATATATCTTAGAATGATAAAAAGAAAATGAATATTTCAATTACAATTCCACTCACCCTCGTCTCACCCCCTTCCACCCACCCTCGTCTCACCCCCCCGTCCCCACACCCTGTCCACCCACCCCCGGCCCTCCCACATCCCCCACCCCCACCGTACCCATGCTTGACTCTTTCGATTGCCTCACTGTTAGCTACTAATTAATATCACCAGAAAAAATTACACACCTTGTAATAAATAGTTAAGTTGGGAACAATATTGATAATATTAATAGTGAACCATACTGAACCCTTAAACTTTATCATGGTATCAACATGGGGTCAATTTATTGAGCTCAAATTTTGTTTCGTAAGTTAAGTTTTCAAAAAGATACGGTAGCTCCAACTTAAGAGCACTGAATGAAAGTTTGGGCCTTCATATAGATGCATTGATTGTAGTGAATGAATAATGGCCAGACTGTCGAAATGATTTGTTACCTTAACTAGTTTTTCACATGGGAATTAGTTTCTTGAGTGATATTGTGTGAGGTCACTCATGAATGGTCAAGTTAGAGATAGAGTCGCACATTAATACAACAAAATAATACATATTATATAATTTATATGTGAAAGGTTACTACTAATATCAGCGAACTTTTATGATAAATTTATACACTTGGTAAATAGTAAATAAAGAAAAGATCGTTTATATTGGTGATGAATCATACCAAACCTAATAAAAACCTTAAGCTTTGTTGTTTGTACCAAAGCAATTTTCACTCGGTACAAATAAGGTTCAACTTAGCATTCGTGAACTCATTTGTTTTATGTACCCTTATAGTTAGTTTTAGTCACATACATGATTTGACACATTGGAAGATTATTAGCCTAACTAGCTTTGGAAATTTCCAGATTGAGGGTCGCCAAAGTTGAATTAATTGTTATAACCTAATCACAGGCTGCAGTCAACGCCATCGAGTCGATGTGCCTCGACATTTACCAAGTTATTTAAATACATGCATGTCGCAATCATCAAGTTAATGACCAAATTATTGTCGTTAATCAGACTTAACTATACTAGCTGGTTACGATATTGTAGCAAGGGTGCAGAGTATGCACGGCCTTAAATTTGTACTGCTAAGGAGTGTACCATTATATATCTGAAATTAATTGAAGTACTAATCACAAACCAAGAAAAGAAAATTGAAGTAGCAAGTAATCCGAAAAGATAGATGAAAAGAGTACTTTGCTATTTGCTAATGGGGGTGAGAAGCAGCAAGTTGTTGAGCCAGTTGATCGGAGCTCAAGGACTGAAAAGACTGAAAAGCTCACCTTCAATGACACCAAAAGGTTATGTACCTGTTTGTGTTGGTGTGGATGGTAATACAAAGCGTTTCATGGTTCATACGACGTTGCTTCGCCATGCAAAGTTCTTGGAGCTGTTGTATAAGTCAGCGGAGGAATATGGTTTTTCTAATGATGGGGTTTTGAGGATTCCATATGAGGCCAGCGATTTTGAAGAGTATTGGATGATCAAAAGTTCTAAACCCAAGATTTACAAGGTTGAACCGTGTAATTAGTCATGTTTTTTTTTTTTGGGTGAGAATTAGTCATGCGTTTTTTCAATACATTGCTTGATGTAATTATTTAAAAATTTGGTTTTATTTGTTATGTATTTTCATTGCTAACTAATGTCTCAGTTAAGGGATTTAATATGCTGATGTCCATTTGCATTGTTCTTCTGGGCTTGTGGAATGAAAATTATGCGCATCCTTTTTCATTGTGAGGATTGTTTTGTATTTTATTTGTGATTTTTTAAAAAGTAATGCTATTTAGACACACAAAATTGGTCTCACTATTGACAGACTCTCTAATATAAGTGGGTTGCACATACAATAACAAGGTCCACTTCCATACGACATTACATTTTGATGTACATTACCTAGCTTCTAATTGTATAAAACTGTAGCCAAACCGGATTGATTTTGATTTCCGATTCACTTGTGTTATAGCCTTAACTAAAGATTCATATAACAACCAAACCAAACCAATTTGAAAATAAATAAAATAATTGAACAAGCCAAATTTAAGCATATCTATATTCAGTTCGACTCAACTTGTTTACAACTCTACCTATAGATTATTTTCTCTGGGGCTTGGGCATTTCGCCAAGTGCCATGTCTCTTAAGGTACAAGTCATTGTTTATATTTCTCAATTATGCATGTCATCTTTGCTCAAGGACCATGTTAATCTTCTCTGTATCGTTCCAGTTTTATAGGATGTCCCGGAAGGGACAAGCCAATATTTATAGATTGTTGACCTGTTTCGCCATGGTTCTCAACACTATGTCGCTTCCTTACTAACACGTGAATTTACAACAGCACTGCTTTAGCTTTCTCTTTGACTTCCTTTTTAGCCCGTGTATCATCAGTGGCATGAATTCAACATTTTACAAACGATGCCTGCTTATCACAAATGTTTTTTTCATAATGCTCACCTTTTGTCGACCCTTCAGACATATTAGCTTCTTAAGTTATAAACCTCGCAATATAAACCTTGCATAACATCTTCCAATATATCCTAATGAATCCACGTTAAGTGATTCATTTATGTACTCTTCCTAAATTGCTTGATAAGATACTATTTACAGTAATATATGCTAACTTGGACAGTTATTGAATTTTTGTTTCTGGTTTCCCTGATGTTCATTCACAAAATAAATGAGCTATGGAAGACTTCATCATGGACTACTGCAAAGGGTTAAAGATATGTAATTTTTAGGCATTCCACTTCTAAAGTTACCTGATGCACAGACCATAAGAACCTGTTTTAATATTGTTTGCAATTGTTGGAATGACAACAGGCCTTGTAAGACATGTATGTTTTATGCTTCATGCACAAACAAAATATATGTGAACTACATGGTACTTCTGTTTCTGATGCAAAGACACTATATTTTGTCATTGCAACTTTTGTTAACATAAACTTCCAGACACGCCAATCTGATTGTATATTGGCTCTTGATGTCAACTAAGTATTCTGAATCTGATTCGTATTGAATACGATAGACGTGTTAAATCCGATGATCTGAGTACGATCCGAATTCAACAGTTGGACTAGCTATTTAGGAGTCTAATCTACACAAATTTCAGTAGACCAACAAGCTTTTGGCAATTGCTGAGGATACTATTCAACTGCAGTAACCATTGATCCGCATACAAAAGAATATCACTAAGCTGACTTTCAACTCTTCTAAACTTCCACCAAAAAGTAACAAGTATTTTGTTTCCTTTACAGCAATGTACATTGGTCACATTTTATTCCTCTTTTCATTAACTAGAACAAGCACGCATGGACAAAATCTGAATCTTCCACAAAGACGGCTGCAACATTCTTCGGGTTTGCTCTGGAGCAGACTTCCATGATGTAAAAACTCGTATGGATTCAACGTGCAACTTTCTGTAATGCTATACATCTAATCACTCGATATAGCCGTGTATGGCAACAAAAGAGAAGATTTAAAAGCCTGGTTTCGTCCAAAAGTACCACGATTTCACTGGTCTGGCAGTGGCTGTCTTAGGGCAAGTACAATGGATACATAAATGCTCCTCGATCAGTCAAAAAAATGCGGGATTGAATTCGCTTTATCTCCTAAAAAAAGGTAGGGCTATTGCTTCGAAGCTTGCTTCCCTGGAGTACAAAGAAGCTTCTCAGAGGACGGAAATTTCAATGTATAAACAATTAAGAAGTCATTAAAGAGTCAAGCACCAATCTGCTATATATTCATAAGTTACCTCGGATACTCATTTCGTTCCTTTTCTCAGAATGGGCTCTTTCCAAGTACGGAGAAATTAAGGCATCCAGTTTCACCAACCAAAGTGCAACTGAAGATGTTGTGTGGGGAATACGTGCAAATGATGCAATGAGTTCTTCAGTAAAATTATAAGAACCATGCACAATATTGCCTTCATACAGGCGCTCCTCGTTGATGGCGCCAACAAAATCCGCAAGAACCTGCACGTACAAACGATAAAGATGCTGATGGTTCAGACTAAATAATAGACAAAGATATATAATGTTGAAAAGTGAAGGATACAAAACCTGTAAAAGCTCAGCCAAAGATGAGGTACGTCTAAGCCGTTTCACCCATAGCTTATGAGCAGATTTTTTCCAAGCACCCAACAAAGCATCTTCAGGCATGACTGACTGCACGAAGCAGAGGCAGGTGAACATCAGCGAAGCATAGAAAATACTTTAAAAATTTTGGGGCATCTATAAATGTCTTCAACATACAATCTACAAAACATGTTGTAAGCATCAGACAATCAATATTTCAGGGCCAAAACCCACCAAAGAATAACCCCATTATTATTTGTGGGTTAGCTACCAGAGGCCCAAACAAACCAGAGCGGGCAGGAAGATACTATTTGATCATTCCGCTCCATTTAGAGCGGTATACATCTTCCTCAGTTGCTTCTCAGTAACACATGCTAAATTACTATTTTGGGCTTGTTTCCCCGCCATCCCTTCACATAAAATCTTATTGCACTTTAGCGAAGAAGTAATCAGATTCTGTCTTTTCTTTTCAAAGAAAAGCTATTGGATTAGATTGCACAAAAAAATCTGACAAGTCACATTCTAATTATCCAAGCCATATTCCTCGCTTGACCATCAAATGAAGTCTTATTTTCCTCCTGTCTAGGAATTAGCTTCAAATCTTCTTAACTCAAGGACGTTTTCATTTCTCAACTACAATAACCATATATCAGAAAATGCAAAGCTAAAATCCAAATGACAGATTACCTCAATTGCATGCATTGCAGCTTTTAGTGATTGAATCTGTGATGAGAGGACCCTATGCTTAGGAAAAGTATCACTTGCTTCTTTCTCCTTACAAGTGGCTACATGTATGGCATACCTTTCTTCCAGATCAAAATGAAGTTCAAATGTTGTATGGCAAATCCTGCAGTGCTTCTCATCTTTCCAGTACAAATCATGACAACTTTCACATCTATGAAGTGTATCAAAATAGGATCGTTTACCAAGTTTAACAGCATTAAGTTCTAGGTAAAAGAAATTCCATAACCATGAATCAAACGCTTGGATCCGTTTCCATTTCCGTTTCTGTTCTTCTCCCTTTTTTGTAACTTCAAGAACCACAGCTCCAGATGAAGGTGGAGAACCATTCACAGTTCCAGATAAGTTGTCTACTTCAGATACTGGTGAATAAGTGTCTTCTCTAACATTATCCGGGTTAGATTGATCAGACTGTGCTAAGCTGTCAATTTTATCACCAGTTACCATTCTACTTGACATTGCCTGGCAGAGAAATGCTATCCGTTTCTCCACAGATTCGATAAGAAGGGCCTCTCGTTTACCCCTGTCATCCAAAACTGACAATAAGGCATACAAAGCCTGCATTGGGTGTAAGCCAAAGAAGTAAACATTAGAACCTATACAAGGTCAACCAACATGTACCATAATCACATTGACCGTATAACAAAAATTAAGGAGAGTACCTCTTCAGTATCAATAACTTCCCAGTGACCATCTTCTGAAGATTCAAAGTAAACCCTTCTATGGCCTGGGTCATATGCATTACAAGGGCCCAATAAAAGCCAGTATCTATTGTATCTACGATCAGAACCTAAAAACACAGATTGCATTGGGTGTACGTCAAACTGCACATCTTTATCTTTCCCATTTTTTCCTTTTGTAGAGAATCTCTCATCAGAAAACTTTGAGATTGTTGCTGAAGAATCTAGCGGGTGAAACTTTAATGTACTATCTTCTTTTGCACCACCCATATGTCCTGCATGGACCCAGGTTGACCTTGGATCACTATGTTGTTTAGCAGATAACCTCTTAATTTTTGCTCCTGAACCAGAATGAAGGCTGCTAAGAGTGCATTCAGCAACAGCATTTGTAGGATCCTATAAAGAATAAGCACACTATAGTTAGAATACTCGATTAGAAGAAAATTGAGGACAAGATTAATCTGTGTAAAATTACTAAAATGCCCTGCAAAACTATAGTTACAATTGAAGAACATCTAAGAACAGAGTGGGGAAACACATGGTACATAACAATAGCAAAAGACACCATGAAGCTAGAAATTTCTTTTTTTCTTTTTGTTTTCTTTTTTGGGATAAGCCTAAGAAGCTAGCTCTAATGACCCATCAACGTTTCATTCAATATTCAAATAATATTTATTGTCCAACAATTGTAAATCTACGGTAGTTTGCACCATCAGATAATATAATCTTACGAAGGCCAGCACAAGTTTCATTTAATAGGGTAACTTCATTGCAGGGGGGAAAGAAATGAAAACAAAGAAAATACTTCAATATCAATTCCAAGATTCTGTACATTACCTCAATCCTGAAACTGGATCCTGCATGAAGAAGATCAATTAGAGCCACAAGTGCATTCAACTTTTCTTCAATGCTTAAATCTGAATATTCGCCTTCCATCAGTCCTAACAACCATACTTCGCCTGGATGACTCTCATCAATTTCAGTGTGTACTGTCAGCACGTTATCTTTACTTCTACCATTGTTCGTATAAGTCAGTTTCCTAATTCTGGAATTTCTTGAATTCCACCCAGAATCATCATCACTGCTGCATGTACCACTGTCACCAAGCTCATCATCAACTGCTCCAGAGTCTTCAGTATCTGATTGGGATTCCTCAATTTCCTTTTTGGAAGAATTAATACGGACACGATATGTGGATGATGAAATTTTCTCAAATAATGTAATATCACTTGAAAGAGTTGAACAAATCAAAGACTCTAGTTCCTCTATTCCGCTGGAGAGGTTCAATTCAGAAATCTTCAAAACAAAAACAAAGTCCATCACTAAAGTGGAATAATGTGCTTGCTTGTTATCAACTTAAAGATTAAAACATGAGAGAGGTTAAGATAACAACATGTTTAACAAACTTACCTGTAATGACTTCGCCAACTCAGAAACTTTCAACCCATGAATTCCTTGCTCTAGCAGAACTCTAAACAATTCGCCCTTCAAAGTACCAGGACGTAAACCATACTTCACCATAAGGCCCATTTCCTAGATAATAGAAGATTAAATTTCAAAATCCTTAGATAACAGAAGATTAAATTTCAAAATCCTTAGATAACAGAAGATTAAATTTCAAAATCCCTAGATAACAGAAGAATAAATTTCAAAATCCAAATTTCACATGTATAGATAGATTATGGGACAAAAGATAAAATTTATTAACAGTATAACATAAAACCAACACATGGAAGAAAATAAAACCTCCATGGCATTTGTAAACATAATAACAAATGCGGAGACAAGTGGAGGCAAATAAAAAATATGCTCAATGAATGTTATTAAGAAGCACACTAAAAGAAATTCCTTGTCCATTGTTATATGTAAAACCTGAAATTTCTAAATTTGGCCCTTCAGTGTGACAATTGACTCTCTAACTAGGACTCTGGGTCAAGATAAAGGAAATTTTCTTGGGTAATGACAGATATTAAATGACTATTGCCACTATGGTTTTGAACCCTCAAGGATTTTAGCAATAAGCACATATTGTCGCATCCATAGCACCTATCTTGTAGAACATATGTACTGATAATACATACATATTAGTTAAATCAACTAGGGTAGTTAAATAATTTCAAAAACCTTGCTAAGAGCGTCCCTTCGCATTGCACCTTGCTTTGAACCAAAACCAGCCGCAATTAGTACTTGACGCAGTATTTCTGTCCATGTTAAAGGGTTTAGAGATCTCTTCCAGAATTCCAGAGTGGATTCTTGGTTTTCAACCTGCCAAATCATTTGATAAATATGAGTTGCTGAGTACTTGAATTCCATTAAATTGGAAATAACAATTAGTTTAAGAGATCTAAAGAGCTTGACAAAAATTATCTCTGATACACCACAAAGAGCAGGTGGATCTTCTAAAAGTGCATGTGGCTGGAATATGAATAGTTGATTATGGTTTTGTCCAGAAATTTTATTTTTTTAATAGGACAAATAAACGTCTACTGAAAAGGCAAGTAAATTACAATCAAGGACGGTAGTCCATCTATGCTTAAACATTCATAACAGAAAAAGTACAAGAAAATCAGTATCATGAGGTCCTGCCCTATCATATAACAACTATCATGACAAATTTCACATTGTTGGCATATACGTACCCAAATAAAATGCATATAACATTAACATAAATCAAATGATACATCTGGAATTTGGACCAATATACTGTTTTTTGGAACTCACCGAGTGGATAAATGCAAGAAAATTGCATGATTTGCTCAAATGAGGTATGGATCCACAGAAAAGCTCCGCTTCAACATTAGTTAGAAAAAGCTTCAGAAGGGCCACATGAATTTTTCCAAGTAGCATGGAATCCTGAAAGGCATGGACGAAAGAAAGAAGTTGAGCAAGTGGAAGACACAATATAAATCTGATGTTAGATCAAAGATCATATATAACCTTGTCATGAAATGCTTGAGCAAGCTCATCAATAGTGAAGGAGCTTATATCCACCATAACGGCATAAGTGTAAAGGAAATGGAAAACCTGCCCAAGAAAGTCAATCCACAATATATATTAGTAAATACTTCATCAAAATCTACTAAACTGAATTCATGGCCCCTGGACTCATCTACTAATAAACCCAACAAAAAACAACATCAACAAACTAGAGTAGAGCTTTAACACACCAGTTTCCAAAAAGAAAAATAAATTAGCATATCTCCATAATTTAACACAAATTTACTAGTCATGGATCACTTGAGAAAAAAAAGCTAATTAACCATACACTTTTAAGACATCTTATTTCAAAGTGACAAGACTTGCAAATAGAGGTTAAGAAAAGAATAGGAGTCATCCAAGCGGGATGTCTGAAAACATAAGTTGAAAGACAAATCAACCACTCGCTCCAACACATAACAATGGCAGCTTAGTAATATTGTGTTGTGAACTGAGTGAAGGGCAACACTCTCTAATAACATTCTTAGATCTTGGCAACCTATAAAGATGGGACGAAAGAGAAAGAATGCTTTAAGACCATGTTTATTAGTATTTATGTCAAGCCAAAAGACCAAGAATCCCAAAAACTAAGAAATGGTTATGAGCTATCACAACTTCACTCCAAAGAATAAGGGGGAGGTAAATACTGACAAGTCAGAAAATTCTCTCCTTTCTCCCCACCCCAGCCCTTCACAAAGACGTATTCGCAAGAAGTTTTGTTCACTGGCGCCATAACCAGTATCTAAAAGTCAAATGCATGAAAGAGAGATGTTAAATATGTCTCGCTCATTTACATCTAAACCATATAAACTAAACCTAATTCTCTACAAGCATGATAGAATAAGAGGAAAATCCTTTCACAAAATGATTTTAAGTGTTGTTTAGAAATTGTAGAAAACAGACCCCTGAAACATCATTCGGAATAAAAAAGAAACTAAAGTGTGACAACATGCTATAAATTCCAACAGATGAAATGTATGACATCTTTCACATACAACGTAACCTGTGTTTGTGAAAGGACTCAACAGGATCAAGTTGCAAGCAGTTTGGCATTTATGTACCTTGAACAGTTTCTTGACAATCTCTGGAGAAGAATCCCAAGGTTGCATATCAAATGGCAGCTTCATCTTCACAGAATTTGGAGGAAACTTGGCCAGCAAATCTGAAATTACAGAAACTTCTTATTTGCAGCTCAAAAATACTATACATGCACACATGTATTATACAGCATTCCATTTTAGAGAGGAAAATTTGATCAATTTTTCCTTCAAACCAACCTTTGCAAAGTGAACATGCATGATCTCCATTAGAAAAATGATAAGAGCACACCAGTGAATTTGGTCTTGCTTGTAATTCTCTTTGCTCCAGCTCTTCATCATCCACAAGCATTGCAATCTTATCCGAGTGTTCTTGGGAACCTGTTCCTTCCAAAGCAAGTTCACATTTTTCATTGCCTGGAAACTTCTGATTCTCATTGTTAGCTTCCATCTGGCATCCAAAGGAAAAATGGCTGTTATCAAAGCTGCTAACTTGAACCACAGATTTGCAATAACAACTTTTTACTTGCCTCTCTTCTTTTGGCTAAATGCTTCCTCTTTTCTTGTAACTTATTTTGTACACTTCCCTGTTTCTGAAAAGGCAACAAACTGTCAGAAAACTTTCTATAAGTAACCATTAAGTTCGATCTTTAAGATGATCATTTCAAAATACTTGCTCAAATATCTGCAAGCAACAGACTACATGACTTACACGAACACATTTTTTTGGTTGCAATCTTCTGTTCCGAGTTACTGGTTTTCGCGATACAGAAGTTTGAATTAGTGATACACCAGCAACTTCACCATTGGCCAAACCCATTTCAATAGGAAAATCTCTAGCATTAGGATTGGTTGCCTGCCAGACCGTCATCAAACCTTTCCCAACACCATGTTTTTGTACTGGAGCACTCTTGTTGCAATCCTGATGATTTGTTATCAAACCTTTCCCAACACCATGTTTTTGTACCGGAGCACTCTTGTTGCAATCCTGATGATTTGTTATCAAACCTTTCCCAACACCATGTTTTTGTACTGGAGCACTCTTGTTGCAATCCTGATTATTCATCATAAAACCTTTCCCAACACCATGTTTTTTCACTGGAGCACTCTTGTTGCAATCCTGATGATTAATTACAGCCTGCTCGGTAACCTAATAAAAGTTAAAAGGGTAAGAATATAAGTGGGACTGGTTATGGTGACTTAATAGAAACAAGAAATTATGAAAGATAATGGCAGCAAAACAATTTATCCATTACCTTTCTCCTTTTAGTTGCTCTGTTGTTCTCTTTGCAAGGAGAAGGAAAATCTGGGGAATCTAAATGGAAATTATAATGTGAGCGAAACCTTCTTAAAGTATGTATCACAGTAAGAGAAAAAACTCTACAATTAGGAAAATAACATCACAAGGAACAGAGAGGAGAAAAAAATGCAAACTGCCACTGCAATACCAATAAGAATTACTCAGTGAAAAATAACACAAGCAAACTACCAAAACAGTCTTATTCTGAATGACATTACAAATTACTAAACAATCATATGTCAAAGAATGTTCTCATCAATTATCGAAAACACTAAAAACAAAAATTTTGTAACAGATGCATGGTTTACTTTTTAAAGAAATGGAAAGTAGAACATATCTCAGATAGAAAAAAATGTGAAACAGAAATTATTCATTTTGCCGATGATTTCTCAGACCAGAATGTTTCTCAGTTCATACCTGGAGAATGGCAAAGTGCCCCAGAGGGAAGAGGATCAAATTCCACACCAAGCGGAGGACCATCCTTACGGAACACCTTCTTGAGAATGTTGTCTGGAGTTAACAATTCCTGAACATGATTCCATTTCATTCTTTCCTTCTTGTTAAACAAACTTGTTTTCATGTATCTCGACGAGGAAGAAGCTTTGGTTTTTGAGCGGCCGTGTTTAACTATCCTTGTATCACCAGCTCCCAACTCACTGGTTCTATTTCCTCGCTTCTCTCTCCTCCTCTTCTCGACAAACCAACCTCGAACCTGCTTGTAAGTCAATCCGAAAGCAGCAGCATGGCATTCCATTGCCATTCGTGACGGATACTTTTCCTCTGTATAAAAATTAAAATATAAATAAACAAAAAACTACAAGTATCGGGTTTAATTCTCTTGTGGTGAACACTAACAGTGCGTTATCATTCCGCAGAATCTATGGCACACCAACAATCCTAAATTGCTTCAATAATTGCAATGCCCAACTACTTCCTGATCGGTTTCGAAAATCGACACACCGAAAGATTGGCAATTGTATGTTCCAAATTTGAAACTCCACATCAATAAACACAATTCTAAAATGCTAATTTCAATTAAACAGTCAATTGGGTAACTCAATTTTGAACCCACTTGAGATACAGAGCAATAATAGCCAAAACGAGAGAGAGAGAGAGAGAGGGTACCGGAGTAGAAGCTCTCGAGGGCTTCAACCTGCAATCGCGTTTTCTTCTTTGTCTTCTCCATCATCTTTCCCTTCATCTCCAGCTTCTCGAAATCGCAGAAAATCACAAAAATTTCGCCACCATTTCCAGAAGCAGCTGAAGTGCAAAAACCAAAAGCAGAAAAATGTTTGGGAGTTGTACAAGCTAGCAGAGAGGGACTGCCGCCGGCGATGTGGGAGCGAGAGCGGCGGTGCCGGAGTTGCAGAGAAATGGAGTTGGGAGAGTGAGCTCTGAAATCTGCATGCTTTGTCTGTAATTTGTGCCAGAAAAGAGAAGGGGAGAAGCAGCAGATAATGAAATGGGCCAACTAACCACCAAGTAGGGTTTTGGGTTTTACCAAAATAAATATCTTCATCAAATTTCTTAAGCAAAGAATTAATTAATCAACTTAAATATTTATATCATCATCTTTTCTTTTTCTTTTTTTTTAAATACAAATAATTAGTTTTTTAGTCAATGGCCCAACTTCAACTTTGTTTCTTGTAGCTGTTGTAGCCCAATCTGCCCAACCCATATATATGGACTTGAAGCCCATTTTGTATAAGTGTGTCTTGTTTTGGGCTATTGAAGAATTCGACCTTGGGTCTAGCTTGGTTCACTTCACCTCAAGAACGAAAATTGAACCAAATAATACAAATGTCATTTAGTACTACTATCTAGCCGCATGGTTTGTTGATTCGACAGTGCGCTACACAATTAGTGGCATGGCGTTTTCTGGTGCTAAGTTCTCTGCGCAGAATTTAGTAAATTTTTTTATTTACTTTACTTAACCTGGTTCTAGTGCCAAGAAGAGAATACTTGAATCATGATTATATTCTTTCCAATAAGAGGTATTTGTGAATATGAAGATAACTAATTACACGTGATTACATGAGAGTACACAGGATTACATATAAATTAGAAATCCTACCTAAAATACAAAGTCAACAATATTTTTCTTCGCTTGTAAGTAAGAGATCTTAAGTTCAAGTCTCATGATGGATTTGAAACCAAATTTCTTATTCTCATATATCCAACATATGAGAAGTTGTCAACTTCTGTTATTCAAGTGCCACAAAAAGTTATCACTTAGTACTACGTTCCAATCGTATTCCTCTTCACTTGTAAGTGAGAGATCTTAGATTCAATTATTGCCAAATGCGAATTTGAACCACATTATTGCTAGCACATTATGAGGCTAAGTCCACCCCTTTGGTGTAGATAATATCGTTTGTTTAAAAAAGTGCCACAAAAAGTCCTGAGATGATCTTTCACTTGAGACAAATTAAGTTACACATGCGAAGGCACTAAATATTGGTGACCAAATATTATGTAGAACAACACAATAGTCCCAAAAGAACTATTAGGTTTTGTATATGAAACACGGTCATGCAACACTGACATCTTACTTAAAAATTATAACACGTAGATTTGTTTTATTTTATTTAATATACCTTGAAAGTAAAACGTATGAACCTTATCATCCATCCTTATTATACGTCTCCAATACCCATAAAAATTTCTACCTCTAAACCTTTGCCAAGTTGCAATTTCCTAATGGCTCCTTTTGCGAGCCATTGAACATTTCTAAGTCATGTTTTGGTGGCTGTATATGTATATATGTGTGTGTGTACACACACATTATATAATATAAAGAACCAAAACCCTAATCCATGGAAGGTTGATATCTAATTTTTTTATTAATTCAAGAACAAGGGTTAGTTCACATTGACATCCATGTAATAATCAATTGGAAGTAGCTTTTGTTTAATAGTGGGATGACATTCATTTGCTTATATAATTAAGTTTGACATATGCATTCTTTTTATATATTCCACTAGGCACTAGATTTTTTTTTTCATTTATTTTATTTATATATATTATTGACTTAATGCCTCCAAAGTCCAACCTGGTGATTTACTTTATCTATATAGAAAGGTTTTGTAAGATCCCACATCGTCCAGGGGTGAGGATCCTGTAAGTCTTATATGTATATTCTCATCTCTTCCTAGCACGAGGCTTTTTGGAAGCTCACTGGCTTCGGGTTCCATCGAAACTCCGAAGTTAAGCCAGTTTGGGCAAGAGCAATCCCATGATGGGTGACTCACTAGGAAGTTTTCATGTGACTTTCCAGAAACAAAACCGTGAAGGTGTGGTTGGGGCTCAAAGCGGACAATATCATGCTACAGTGGAGTCGAGCCCTGAATGTAATGGGGGCCCGGGCTGGGATGTGACAGGTTTTGTTTCCTAACATATTTTTTTAATTTTCCAAAAAGAAAAAAAATATTATTTCATTAAATATTTAGGGCAAATGCAGGTCATCAAATGTGGATCTTGCACGTAAAAGTGTGAGTAGTGCGCACTGATCATAGGATAATGTGAATTGATTATCAAAACTTGGACAAGATTAACGCTCACATCATCTTTTAAAAAAAGGGAATTAAAAATGGTTTAGCACCATACATAAAAATAGTTCAAAGATGCATAGTGTTGATCTCCACATTGCAGGCTCATTTGAAAGTGCTTTCTAAAATGACCGAAAATCCTTTTAAAGAAAATATTTTCTTAGTTCCAAAATCACTTGCAATGTTTTTTTACTAAAAAGCACAAATTAAGTTTTTCTTCCAAAAAGCACTTTGAGTGCTTTTCCAAAAACATTTTCAACAAAAGCGATTTTAGTCATTTTAAAAGTACTTTCAAATAAGTTCAAGGTTATCAAAGGTTCGGTTTGCATTTAAGTTGAATCGTTCTCTTTATAAATTAAAGTAGTTTAAAATATAAAAAATTATTATAAATTACGGTAGTTTAAAATATCATACCGTTGAAAACGAAAATATTATTGTTTGAAGATCACAACAAGCACAAAAAGTCCAATCCCACAGTCTATTAGTTTCATGTGGTAATATGTAGGTTTTTATCCAAGGAATTCTGCACACTTATATTCTTTTCACACTCAACATTCAACTGTAATTTTTTTTTTTTATACATTCCTCTTGAAACTCAATTTTAGTCTCGTTTTTTCCTTAGTATTCGTTCCATGTAATCCCCTTCAGAACTCGATTTTTATCCCACGTTAGTTGAATTTGTCAACTCCATGAAATATGGCACTTTGTTGATGTACAAGAAAAATCGACTCCCATTTTACAAAATTAGCCTAACTGAGATAATGTGGAATGAAAATCGAATTTTAGAAAGTTAATTAAAACAATATGAGTTGCAGGAAATAAAAAAGGGGGGGGAGACTGAAATCGAATTTCAAGGGCATAACAAAAGAAACCATTTTCATTTAGAACATTGAAAATACAAATATTTGTTTAATTTTCAACAACTATCGCCATCGATATTAGTTTTGAGTCTTTGAGAAAATCTAACACCCGTGCTAGCGTTCCTTTCCCGGCATTGGTGCTGACGTTACACATTACTGCTTCTTATTTGCAATTTTATTTTATTTAACATTAAATAGTAATAAAAATTTTCATTTAAAAAGGTTAATCTAACTCACCTGGTTGAGCTCTTCCGATCTACGATTTGTTTTACATTTCCATTCCAATTCGAGGACCCCATTTGAAATCTTTTTCTTCTTCCTTTTTTTTTTTTTTTTTTGGCTTAAAAGTTCAAATTGGTTTAGTTAAAAAACTTTTACTATGACAAAAGACGACGGTTAATTCTAAAAATGCAGAATGATACGATGGAACTTGAACACAACTCGGATGTAAATCGGGTGTTTATTTATAGGACAAAGCTTGATGCTTATACAAAACAATATGATTTTTTTTTTTGGCAAATGATGGCCGTTTATTAGCATTTAAAAAAATAAAAAATAAAAAAAACTTCAAATGGGACATCCTGATTTAAATCCCAAGGATCTTCAAACAAAAATGACTAAAAAATAATGTCAAATTGGCAAATCTAATAGCCACCTTATTGGCAGATCTTTGGGTGTGACAAGCATGAGAGAACACATCCAGCACTCCAAAGCCAAAAGAACTTCAATCCTAGCAACTAGAAATTTAATCACTTCATAATCCACCTCATGGGAGACTCTTCACACAAAATCACCAACAAACCCAATAAGAGAACACTCTATGTGTGGAGGCATAAATTAACCACATCTAATAGGAGAAAGACACGTGGATTATATGTTCAACATGATGGTTTTACACTTGACATCATGAGTAAACCACAAAATTATCCTAAGACAATAAGACATAGTCTGCACTAAGGTAATTTGGGTTTTTATACCACTAACACACCATGGATTATGGGCTATCCAGGCCGGCCAGGACATTTATATGGGTTATCCGGGCCGCGTATTCTACATCATGCCATCAGGCCATACTTGGTCCAATGGTGGCAGAGCACCGACTTTCTAGAGTTTCCCATTAGGTGTTATCCCTACATGTGCTCTTATCATCATGGACCTTTAAGAATACTAGATGGCAATACCGCAAAGACTAGCATGCATCATCAAGGACTACCTAGTATGCTTCGCAGCTTCCACTCCTAGTTGTTTGCTAGCGTTTATTCCCTATAAATAGCCAAGTCAATCAAAGGAAAACGGTAATCGACACTTACTACTCATAACTCTTCAAGTTATATTTTTCTCTCTATTAATTATCTGACTTAACATTAGAGACCCTTTGGTGAACATCTTCCCACCCTTTTAAGTGTGTTTGTCAATTAGGTCAATGGTGTTTGCTTATAAGTGGAATTTCGTAAATTCAACCATGTACAAAATTTGCATCTACAATGTGCTTTTGTTGAGAGAAAAATTGAGTTACACTCAATGAGTGCTTAAAAATTTGAGCGAAGAAAGTGAATTCCAAAAATTTTCTTAGGCGTTCTTTGTTCATCGAAAGACATAGTTAGCTTATAGATTACTCGGCCTGCGCGTCACGTAGGCTTGGTAGTTTTTAGGATCAACAACCACTAATAAAAAATTGACATCTGTTCATTTTATACTATCTCATGCTACTACAATTTTCATAACCAAACACCTTATATTCCTCATAGCTTCTGTAATGGAGATTTGGACAAATCCTCAACTCTTCCAACCTATGCCTCGGTCGACCCACTCTCGTTTCATTGACTGCACCCACGACTCCTCATTCCTCTCTCGTCGGTCAAACCTACCCCCAATCCACCATCTTTATTCTAGGTGCAACCTTGGCAACAAGGAGAGGAAGCTACGCCAAGTCTCGACCAGTAAATGAGCAAGTGCATAGGTGTTGCCATGGCTGACAAAAGGTTTGGGTTCAATGGAGAAGAGAAATTAATGGAGAAATTTAAGTTGGATTTGAGATATGTGTCATGGTTGGGGATGAGAAAGGGACGGATGAGAGTGGAAAGTATGAGAGATTG